GTCCAGGTCCCTCTGGATGGTATCTGAAGAATCTGTGTTCCTAAAGAGGGACCCCCTGCCCTAAGGAGGGAGCCCTGCCCAATTCCCGCTCTGGAACACAAGACATCTCCCCCTGCAAGGACAACCCCTTCTCACAAGTGGGCAGAAGCGTCACCCCCCCAGGATACGTGTCTCACCGCTCTGCACTGTACTGCAGATCACCGTCTCCTCCTCTCGCCTGCCTTTGCCAGGCACCACGGCATGCTTCATCCACACGGACAGGGTGAAGTGGTCACTCAGCCCCTCGTGGGCGTTTGGCCCCGCCACCACAGGGACGTGGGCAACCTGGCTGCCATTGAACCAGTAGATGAGGCTGCTGTCCTGGCTGTAGTGCACCGAGAGCCGCGCCGTCCAGTTGGCCGTGGGGCTAGGCACCGGGAGCAGGTCGATCTCTCCTGGGGCAGCACCTACCAAGGAGGGAAGGAGGCAGGAATGTCAGCACAGGAAAATAAGGAGCCTGAGAAGAGGAGAAGAGATGGAGGGGGTGCTGGATGGCTTGTTGTAACATCCCAGAGCACAGGGAGAGGAGGAGTCGCATATAGGTCTTCTCCTGCCTGGAGAAGGACGGTGACTTTTCCATCTGTGCCGGGGGAAATCCCAGAGACTCTGCGCAGTGCGGCAATGCACAGAAACCTCTGGCTTCCCAGCAAGGAAAGCACGGGGAGCCCCTTCTAAATACGGGCAGGGTGCCCACCGCCCCAACGCAGCCCGCGAGCAACGCGTCCTCCCCGCCCCGCTGACCGCAGCAGACGCCAGGAACGCGTCCCCCGGCATCTCTGCCGTCAGAGGCACAGAGCTACCGCCGTGAAGGGGAAAGGGGCAGGGTGCTGTGCCACGGACGCCCTCGGCCCAGGAAAGGATGGATTCACCACAGAGTTTGCGCAGTGACTTCTCGGAGTAGTTGTCCCGATCGCAGCCCTTGGCCACGTGGTTTGTCTGCAGCTCCACCGTGGCCTGGATGTTCCACAGGGGCTCGTCGCAGGTCTCCAGGTGAATGCTGGGGAAGAGCGCGAGGCTGCCTGCACCCGGGGTGTACTCAATCCTCTTGTTCCAGCCTAAGGAAGAAGAGTGAAAGAGAGGGGTTAGCTCCTACCAAGAACCCAAGGCCAGAACATCTGGCCCACACACAAGTGAGGGCTAGCCCAGAAAGAGATATTTTTGGCCCTTTCCACGTTGAAAAGACAACTTTATGCAGCTGGCATCAGTGCAAGGGAAGATTTCCTAGAAGAACAGAGCCCAAATCCTCATCTTCTATGGCTAGTAACAGCGGAGCATCGTTCCTTGGATTGTCAGCTCTCTTATCAGGCAGAGCAGATATACAGCTGTGCTGATTTCCCCTTAATTCTATTAAGGTGAACCTGTAGGCATACAACATCTCTGGAGAGGCCAAATATCCTCAAGATGAGCAACTTCCAAAACCAACCTACAGTCTGTGAGCCTTATAAAACACAAAGTAGTTGACAGCAATCCGAGGAATGATTTCCTAATGTTAGAACTGCGTTCCAGTGGCTTTGCAGCAGACTTGGATTTCCGCTGCATCCCCTTAGACGGGACTGAAGGTTTAGTGCCAGCGCTGAACCAGGTACTACATGGCCATACAAGTTTATGGGTGCGTATAAGAACACCAGCAACGAGTAGGACTGAGCAGAAGAGGAAAAGGGGAGACGTAACAGCGTTTGGAGGTTTCATACCCTGCCAGCTGGGCTTGCAGGTGGGTTTCACCTGGATTTCCACTTCAGCATCATCAGAAGCCCGCTTCTTTCCGCAGTCGTAGGCTGTCACGGTGAATTTGTAGAGATGATCTCCACTGTACTGCAACTTCTCCGTGTTCTCGATGTTCCCTGGTTCGCAAAACAAAGAGAGAGGAAAGACGCTTTCCTCAAAGATGTTCCTTCTAGAAATCGCTTGTATTTTTGATTAACTACAAGAAACAACCAAAAAAGGCGTTGGCTCCCCCCAGGCCAGTGCCACTCGGTAACGAGCTATAGCATCTCATGATAAAGTTGCTGCATCTGGGCCAGGAGAGAGAGATCAGCAGCGCTGGAAAAATCATACAGCACAGCTCTGCTGGCAAATGGGACGGGCAGGGAGGGAGCAAAGCAGGAAAGGGGGAGTGACGTGCACGCGGCTGGAGCGGATTCTTACCATCATTGTCAATCAGAAAGGGAATATTGGGGGTCAGGATCTCGTAGTAGCAGATCTGGCTGTACTGCGGGGAGCAGTCTCCATCAATGGCCTCCACACGCAGGATGCGGTCATACAGCTTTCCCTCGGTCACCGCCACGCGATACAACTTTTCCACGAAGACGGGAGCGAACTCATTCACGTCGTTTACTCGGACGTGCACGGTGGCCCTGAGTCAGAGAGACATCAGTAAGAAGCGATCAGCTGACTGGGAGCCACACACCACCTAAATTTCAGCGTAAGTCGCGCCTCTAAAGTGCACCGCTCTGATTTCCAGCGCTTTCCCTCGGTCACCGCCACGCGATACAACTTTTCCACGAAGACGGGAGCGAACTCATTCACGTCGTTTACTCGGACGTGCACGGTGGCCCTGAGTCAGAGAGACATCAGTAAGAAGCGATCAGCTGACTGGGAGCCACACACCACCTAAATTTCAGCGTAAGTCGCGCCTCTAAAGTGCACCGCTCTGATTTCCAGCCACCCAAAGCAAGGACAGGGAAAGATTCGGTTTCAACGCAGCCATGTTGGCACGCGGGAGCCTGGACAACGGTTTCCCACCTCAGAGAAAGAGTAAATGGAAGGATAACGCAATCTGGACCTCCTGCTTATAGGCAGCAACAGGAAACACCCCCCTTCGACACGACTGTCAAGCAGCCCTCGTTTCTAGTGCGTTCGCTCACGTGACGTGGTCAGTGAACCTTTCTCTTTGGGTCCTATTAACATGCTGAGTTATAGTATCAAGGCCAGAAAAAACCACTGCTGGCTAAAGGAAGCGTTCCCACAGCAATTTTCCTTTGTGCGTCCGTGACAGATCGCATTTTGTAACACGCAGCAATGGCTGCGTGGACTTACTTGTGTGATTTCTTAGTATTTGCTCCGTCAGGTCCCTCTCCACAGTCATAAGCCTGGATGGTGAAGGTGTGCTCCTTATGTGCTTCACAATCCACTGGTTCCTTGGCCCGGATCAGCCCCTCACCTGTAGCTTTGTCCAGGATCACAGCTTCAAAGGGTACCCCTGCCCCATGGATCCTGAAGCCACAGATTTCACCTGGTACCCACAAAGGCAAGGAGGAGAAAGAAAAGGACTGAGGAGAGTACATTATGCTCCCTCGCTTCCCTCTTCCGTATTTGCTTCCTTTCTAACTTACACTCTCCTTTCTCCCTCATTAACGCCTCTCATTTTGGGCAATTTTCGGTTCCCTAGAAGCATCTCCTGTCATTTCTCACAGCCTTTACTGGTGTACATCGCCCTCTACTAGAGACTAAACTCCCACAGCAAGGAGTCTTGACCGGCATCAAGACAGATCAGAGGTTACAAGGCTCAGGCTATATTTATTGGTTCTCCACATCCACGGTACTGAGGGAGCACCTTATTTCTCCTCTGCATCCCTCCAGGAGGCAATACAGCCCATATATTGCAGATAGACAGCCAAAGCGTGAAGATCCGTGATGTCTCATCCACCCACCCACGCAGGATGTGCACAGTACCGCAGGGAACTGCAGATACTGTCACCTAAATCCTAAAGTTCAGCTCACAGGGACCACTTTTCGCCTCCCAAAGCGGCGGGAGGATGGGTGAGGAAGCTGCGGGCACAGCTTAAGCAAGCAGCTTTCAACCCTCGTAAAACCTCGTCTGTAGTTTCGGGGATTGGTGCTTGCTGTGAGGGGATGTAGCACTGCCAGCGAAGTGTGCCCTACCAGATTTCTCCAGCGCTCACAGACACAGAGCTGTGCATGTGATCTTTGGAAATAGCAGAACTGCGTCAAAAAGTAGCTCAACCCTCGTAAAACCTCGTCTGTAGTTTCGGGGATTGGTGCTTGCTGTGAGGGGATGTAGCACTGCCAGCGAAGTGTGCCCTACCAGATTTCTCCAGCGCTCACAGACACAGAGCTGTGCATGTGATCTTTGGAAATAGCAGAACTGCGTCAAAAAGTAGCTGGCTCCACCCTCAAATCTCTCTCCTTAAGGGAAAGACTCACAGCATCCTAAATCAAGCTGTGCCCATACTGCCTCCAGACCTCACCGGGGACCTCTTCCGGAACAAGGTTTGGAGTTTGGAGGTGATGATTTCCTGGAGAGAGCTAGGATGCAGCACAGGGATGAATGTCACCCCGTCCCTGCCTCTTCAGAGGTCTCCCCCTGCCCCCCACTCCTCCCAGGGCTGTTACCCACCTACCTGCATAGCGCAGCGGAGCGTCTTTGTCCAGTGCAAACAGCGGTGGGTTGAGCAGCACTGTGTTGTCGTTCTCCATGACGATGCCCTGATACTCGGCTTCAATCCAGGGTTTGTGCTTATTTGCTGAGGTGGATTTGGGGTAAGGGAGGGAGCACAGGAATGCATTAGCCACCACTGACAGATTCAGTAGGAAAAGAGCAGAACATCATCCAGCGGCAGGTAACAACCACCCCTTCCCACCTTCCACTCTGGAAATAAAGAAGTCTAAAATAGGCTGGGAGGAAGAAGTTACCATTCTTTAGTTCCACTCTACGTGGCTCTTGGGAGACCTCGTCAGAAACAACGTGTTCCTTCTGGCCTCCTCACTACAATCTTATTGGAAGGATGTGGGGAGGCATCTGGGTGCCCAGGAAAGCGGTTTAAAAAAAAAATAAAAATGAAATCAAGAGGCAGAAGTAGCCTGATTCTGGAGACAAGAGTCCAAATGCTAAATCCTTCAGTTCACTGGAGCCATAATTAAAGGATTCAGGATACATCTTCCCTTGGGGTGTCCCCAGGGGACAGGTCTTGCATGCAGCATTATCACTTAGGCCTCGCATCCTCTGGACTGAGGCCCAGGATCTACTAACACGTGCCCAGGTATGCTTTCAGCCAGTCATCCTACACATACGAAAACCTACTCTGAGAGTCCCGTGCTCCTTTCTTCCCCACTCCATGGCGAGCGCCATATTCCCTTGGCCTCTCCTTGCTAATGCCGTTGGCTGGAGCCCAGCCAGGCTTGGCATGGAGGCAGCAGCTAGCGGGAGGCTCTGAAAAATGTCACGGGCCCAGAAATAGCAAATTAATCTTTATCACACAGGCTCCGGGGCAGGGTAAGGGAGAAATAAAGGGGTGAGGGGGAGGGGAGTAGGGGGGGAGAGGAATGGAGAGAGAAGAAAAATCATTACAAATTAAAAACCCCTCCCAGCAGAATAACAGTGGTGAGATTTTTGGCATGTAAATTTGATGCCACATACTTAAAGACAAATCAAGATAAAGATACAAGATTTGGGAAAATCTTTCTGTCTGTGGAATCAGTAGAAAAACAGTAACTTGGAGCACTGCACGGCTCGGAGCGGGTGGGGAGAAGGAGACGGAGCCTTTCCCTCAAGGGCACTACTTCCAAATTAAGTGAATTCCTCCTCTGCAGCGCAGCATCCTCTGAAACCACACCGGCACGGCGTGACGCGTCGGCTCCAAAGGGGCAGTATCCCTTACGGCCAAGCACGTCTGCAGACCG